TTGAGACAGAATAGTCTAGTGAAAAAAATGGAATCACTGGGCTGTTATAATTATGCATTCTGGGTTTTTTTGTACTTTCATAATTATGAAAAAATGGGGTAATACCAAGACTGTAGCAAACATTTTGCATGTCTTACTGCTTCTAGATGAGAAAGTATGTCTTTGAACACAGCAGTTATTTAAGCCCCTGATCGATCTCCACAAAGAACAGAATCAGAGGAGTACTATATTCAAATAAACACAAGATTGACTCTATGAGATTTTAATATGTACCTTCACTGAGGAAGGAGGGACAACCCCAAGACATTATTGAAGGTGCAAGCAGCTTGTTGGCCTCTAGATATTTTGAGGTACAAATCCCACAGCCCTTTACTACTGACTACATTGGCAAAAACTAACACAGTTCTGGGGATATCTGTAGGGAAGTGGTTGAAAAAATTAAGTTGGTGTTCCTGACTGCACAATCAAATCCATTTTCTTTTCTATTTGTATATGATGTTGACACATATATGAAAGGGTAAGACTTTGATTTCCATAGTTGTGGCTGTCATCTTAACTTTCCTGACCAGCTGTCTTCCATAGATGCAGAGGGTTTTTTTTTTCCTTGAAAAATGCTCTTCTATTTTAGTTTCTCATTTTTAAAAAAAATCAGATGTGTTCATCCATATAGATAACATCACAGGTTAATCATTGATACAACAAATGATAAAGTGTTAAGTAATTATTTAGGCAGAGTTAAAAATAATTAAATTAATTAATTAAATAAATAAATGTTAACTGCAATATCAAGTTCATTTAATGTAGCTAGTAACTCTTAACAGTCCTTTTTTTCTAATGGAAGAAATGTATTATTTGCTGATAAGCAGCATTTTTCTTGTCTTTCTATGTTTAATAATAAAGTATAAAGTTTAGCTAGGTTTGGTATGCTTTTGTGTCCAAGTTACTTAAAAAGTCAGCTTGTTAAACCATAAATATATAAGGGTAAATTCATTTGAGCATTAGTAATTCTTATGTAGAATTGCTGCACATAATCTAATTAAAGTTGCTAGGTCTAGCAAACTCTTAGGAAGCAATGAAGACATTGGGTACATATGAGCTGTTAACAGCTTTATTCTGTGATTTTTGAATGAGCCTTAATTCTACATTGGCATAAGCATTTAAAGAATTACTATATGGAAATATCAGCAAACTTTTAAATATTAATATGGTCTGTCAAAGATTAATTGGCAGATTCTTGACTAAGTAGATCAGTAATCAAATAAGGAGTCAATTCATATCTTACTTCCTCCTATATGCTTAGTTTTAAAGTCTCTTGTGCATCTGAGAATGGCATCTGGGTATTTTCTTTTTCTAGGGACACTGTATAGAAGACAATGTGGGCTAAATGAGTTGTTTATTTTCTAAACTTATGTTCTTGAAACAGAAATGACATTATTTCAGGAATACATGAAAGCTTATAACCTTAACATATTTGATCCAAGAGTAATAATTTTACCTCCTGCACAACCATCTCTCAGATTCTCACTGTTACTGTTTTTCTTTGATGCAACTGTTGAACTCAGTATAGGTCTACCAAAGTTTCCCAACCAGACCCACATCTTTGTACAATATTGGACATGTTAATAGCAGCTTTCCTTGTACTGCTGTGTTCAATGACTACATTGAAGATGTTTTACTAGTGAAGAACAACATAGCCTCTTCATAATATATTAACACAGAGGCCGTGTAATTACAAATAAAACTTCTCTAATCCAATCTATATATGGTAGCACTAAGAAAGAGCTAGTATCTCCAGTTCTTTGTAGGATGCTGTATTTAATGGACCTATTCTTTGATCAAGCTGACTTTCATTACATCTCACTCCAGGTCATTATAGTTAACTGTGGCTTCATGTGGCTTTCTGCTCCTGCCCTTGCTACTAATTAGCTTGAAAGCATGATCTGATTTATAATATGGTAGTATTGAATTTTAAGTTATTTTTCAATACGAGAAAACAGGGCAAAAG